AGATAGACTACAACAGGTCTTGGCACACATCTCCACCATCCCGCCCCCTTCACCCGATGGCCCTTCCGACAGTGCGTTATGGAAATACAAAGAAGAAGATTTCAGGCCCTATTTCTCCTCATCAAGGACGTGGAACTTAACCAGGACGGTACATGTTATCGCTCCTTGGAGTTCCATTGTCTGGTTCCCCTTGGCCATACCGAGGCATGCTTTCCTTCACTGGCAGGTTATGTTGTCCCGACTGCCGACGAAAGACCGTCTTCAACAATGGGGAATCACGTCAGATGCAACATGTAGGTTGTGCGATGGGGAGGATGAATCCCATCAGCATTTGTTCTTCGGCTGCACCTATGCTTCCCACCTTTGGCGCCACTTTGGGGAAGTTTGTTGGGCAGACCCACCAAGCGATTTGGTGGGGATTCTGGCGTGGCTCAGCAGACCGGACCATGCTGCCTCGAGAAACAGAAGAAAGATTGCCAAGGTACTACTCCAAGTCTCTATCTATGAAATTTGGAGAGAAAGGAACTACCGTATTTTTCGTGGAAAGTCAAGATCCATTGAACTCATTCGTTGGAAAGTTGATCGCACGATGCGAAACATCCTATTCTCTGCCAAACGTGAACCTTCTGATGATAGCGTCTCTTTGCTAGCTGATTGGTATTATCTCACGCGACATATACGACCGGCATAGTTACTATTTGTTTCGGTTGTTTGTGTTTGTTTTTGTTTTGACCATTTTGTTATGGGTTCCATCATAATTTTTTGTAATACAGTCAGTGACTGGATGTATATTTTGTTAGTGTAATACTCATCACCGTTACCAAAAAAAAAAAAAAAAAAGTACATGCATTAATAGATTAATGCCGTTTGATGTTGTGACAGTTTATTCTCGGACGCAATGAAAGATTCTTGCTTTTCACCCATGCATGCATGCACGCACGCACGTACGTACCTGGATTGATTCCATCGGTGTTGGGGACAGTAACGGGAGCGAGAATGGTAACGTCTTTGACGATAAGGTTCTTGCAGTAGACGGGATGAACATTCCACGAAGGCGAATCGATCAACGTAATGTTCGAAATCTGGACATCCTCGGAGAAGATTATCTCGATCAGGTGTGGTCTCTCCTTGATTTCACCCTTCTTGAACTTGTCCCACCAGTATTGTCCTTGTCCGTTGATCGTACCATTGTTACCTATGATCAACGGCTCGGATTCAATAATAATCAATAGCGTAAAATAAGGGTTATGGTGAAATGTTGGTTATGGGCATACCGGTGATAACCACGTCGGTTAGGTTTGTACCGGAGATCAAACTATTGAACCTTTGCATTGGGTACGACGGCAAGTGCTCGATCTCTGGATACTCGGATTCATCCTGTTTTGTACAAATCGAGAAGAAAAAAAAAATTCGCCGGTTAAACCGTGAACCAAACCGGACCAGTCATAAACTTGTGGTTAATTCATTTTTGCATATATAGATAACCAAATAAAAAGGAATCGTTCGTGATCCAATCTCTAGGTACATACAAATACAAAATATACTTCCATATGCGGATATAAATGTCGTATGCCTGATCCGGTTTGGTTAAGCGAAGTATTAAACCGGTTCAGAAAGAATCTTTTCAAATTGGGAAGACTATTCGAATTCAATTCATCGTAATACAAATCTCCGTTCCAACCAAATTACATGAATTCAACCAAACATCTTAGATTATAAGTGACAAAGAGTTGTTACGATTTTATTATGTTCGGTTAGGGTTAATATATAGTTTATAAATGGATACCTGAGAAGCGAGGATGGTGGCGCCATGTTGGAGGAACAAAGTGAAGAAATGACCGGTGATGTTGAAACTTCCGGTGAGCCATTTTCCGGGCGGAACAACGAGCTGAGCTCCTCCGTCCGCCGCTAATTCCCCGAGCTTTTTCATAGCCTCTCTAAAGGCCTTTGTGTTGGAAGTCTTCCCATCGCCCACGCCACCAAAATCCGTTATAACTGCCGTATGTTTTCGACAGTTTAAGGCCGAGTACTCGATCCTTTTGGTGGCCAAACTGCTCAGATTCCGAGATTCCGTGACCAAAACCAATTTTCTGGGAAATTTTGTATCTAAGTCTGGTAATTAAATTAATCAAAAAGGCTACTTAATCGACCGGATTAGGGGGAAAATGTGGGAATAAATAAATAAAAGCAGTTTTTAGTTAAATGAAATTGGTAATATATATGGCGAAAATAAGCGAAAATTAGACCCAATCTCATCCTTTCATTTTTATCTTTATTAGTGAATAAGCAAAAAATAATTCTTAGTTAAATAAGTCGAGTATTCCTGGACAATAATACCAACACATCATAATTAAAAAAAATTAAATGAAACATGTAAAATAATGTAAGCTTTAAATTATTTAATCAAACAGCACTTTTCATTTTTCATTTACTTCTATGAGGTCCTTTAGCCTTTAGGCTTCATGATTTAAGGATATTCAGCATTTCTGATTTAATATTTTTAAGAATATATTGTATATTAATATCTAAAAATGTTAAAATATCTTTAGATTTTGAAAATTTATTCAGTGATAATGTGTTCCATGATTTGAGAAGGTGCACCATTCTTTAAATTTATTTTCATATGAAAATAAATAAATAAAAACATCAATGAGTGACATTTAGCCAACTCTAAACCGAACACTTCTTCATAACAATACTCTCAATCGGAATCTTGTCTGTCGGGAATTTACAGTCCACCGGAGAACCTTTTTCCGGCAACAAACTACACGCCGGCGGCGAAACCCTGCTCGTAACTCCAGCGACATCCGTACAGTTCCATTGCAACTTCTTCGGATTCGGCGACAATGATATATTCACATTCGATATACATATACCCGTAAACTGATCCTTCTCGATCCCGTCGAGCCTCGCCGAGATCGTGACGTTATCCGCCATCATGTCACGGTAGTTAATGTTCGTAATCTCCGGCAACGCCTTAGGGTCAAAGTGTTCATCAGGGTGTTGATTATAAGCGCCGCTCATCCAGAAAACGTACTTCATCGTCTTCATCATTATCCGACGTGCGAATATATCCTTCACGTAGCCTCCTCGTCCGATCGCGGTCTTGATTCGGATACCCGATTGCGTATTGATCATTGTCGAGTCCTCGATCCGGACATCTCTGATTCCTCCGGACATCTCGCTGCCGAGTGCTACTCCTGCGCTGTCCGGTGAGATGCATGTAAGTCTTCGGATCGAGAGTTGTTGTGTCGGAATACCGACTTTAATTCCGTATTGGTCCCAACCGCTC